GCTTGGGATGCTGAGGCAGGAGGATTGCAGCAAATTCAAGGCCAACCCAGGTGACATAGTAAGTGTAAAGCCAGGCTGGAACATACAGCAAGACCCTGTTTCCAAACACACAAACAAACATGTTTTCTGCTATTGGTTGATATGTTAATTGTCGCTTGAATGTGAATCTCTCACAATCAGATTTTTAATGAGACCCTGTGCCAAATGCATTTAAAAAATCATATTTTTAACACATCTGCCATTAAACTTGAACTTGGCAGCTTAATTGAGATCCACGCAGAATACACTTCACACATTTAGAAGGTACAATGAAAGGGTTCTTAGTGTAGTCACAGCTTTGTCCTGCCACCCCCATAGTCAGTTTTAGAACATTTTGATCACCTAGGAAAAAAGCCTTGTACCTCAGTGGGATCGCAGTCCTCTTCCCCTGGCTTTTGCCACTCTTCTTATGTTTAAAAATACTGAACTATAAAGGGCACGGGGAATTTGGAGCAACAACTGCTTTGGGTTTCATCTGGGGCAATGTCGCAGGAGCTATGCATTTTCTGAAATCTCAGAGCAGGCCCTGAAAGGGACAGAATATAGTTAGACATGGTGCCTGGAATCGCAGCACCTTGGGGAGCTGAGCCAGGAGGGTCACAGGTCTGAGCCTAATCTGGGCAACTTAACAACTTTGCAAGATCCTGTCTCAAAATAAAAACTAAGCTGGTTGTGGTGGTGCACAGTTGTAATCTTAGCACTTGGAGACTGAAGCACCAGGCTCACCATGAGTTCGAGGCCAGCCTGGGCCACATAGTGAGTTCAGAGCCAGCATGAACTACAGGGTGAGACCATGTCTCAAAAAAAAAATAAAAAATACAAACAAACAAAATAAAAACAGGGCTGGCCTGATAGCACAGTGGACTAAAGCTCCTGCTTAGGCAGAGCCCAGCGGCCTGGGTTCGATCCCCAGCCTGCTGTGCCAGCCCCGCCCCTGGGATGCTCTGCGACAGCAATTGAGACTAGGCGTGGTAGTGTGCACTTGTAATCCCAGGGTTTGGGAGGCTGAAAACAGAAGGATCACTATGTAGACCCTGTCCAAAAAAAAAAAAAAAAGATGCCTCCGCAAACCAGGAAAAGTGGTTCATACCTGTAATCCCAGCACTTGGGAGGCTGTGACAAGAGGCTTTCCATGAGTTCAAGGTCAGCCTGGACTACAGAGTGGGATCTCTATCTCCAAAAATATATAAAAACAAACACAAAAACATAACTGGGCTTAGTTTTCCCACCTCCTAATATC